GAAGGAAGGAAGGAAGGAAGGAAGGAAGGAAGGAAGGAAGGAAGGAAGGAAGGAAGGAAGGAAGGAAAAAAAGGAAGGGAGGGGAAAGAAATTGCTGTTCTGGGGCTTAGGGGGTGGGGGTGCTTGGCTTATATTAAGGTGAGACTCACCTTGGGGACTGATGTGGGAGTCTCCAGTGATAGCCCCTGTTAGCACTCCCTTACTAATACCCAGGTAAAGACTAGAGAAGGCACCTATATGAGAAGTTACAACTTTGAATCATCTTCTTTTTGTGTCTAGGAACACGCTTTTGGAGGTGATGTTTGCATAATTGAAAGGTGAAGGGACAGCGAAAATGTCAGCCCTCAACTGGAAGCCCTTTGTTTATGGAGGGCTGGCCTCCATCACGGCCGAATGCGGTAAGGAGCCCGGGACCCTAAAGTTGCGGTGTGACAGTGTTTGAAACCTAAGGTTGATAGTTTGGTGCTTTGTTTCATTTTGTCATGACAGGGTTTCTAAGTAGTCCAGGCTGATTGGTTTACTTCAGGCTCTCAAGTGCTAGGATTATGGGCATGAACAAATGCACAATATGAGCTTGTACAAACATTAACCTTAAAATTCAGAAACACTTTCTGTGGTATGTTTTGAAGACCTGATAGTCATTTTGGCTACTTATTAGCCGTTTAGGGTTGAAAGTTCAGTGAGAGAAAAGTTGAGCCTGTTGATCTGTTCTATGAATGCTGTTTGGATTACGTCTGACCCTGTTTTCCTTATCCTTCCCCCACTGTGCCATTATTAATCCATTTGACTGTCAAAAAGTTTGGGAAGCTCAAGGGTTGCCCAGAGCCAGATTGGATGAACTGTACTTGTTCAGTCACTTTCTAACCTTGTGATTGTTTGTATTCTGCTGCTGACGTCTTCATCTGTGGAGTTTCCTATCTGACCCTAGTTGTCCCTATGTTTATGCTCTAAATCATTCATTCAACACATACTGAGTGGGCCAGGTACAATAGCTCATGCCTGTAATCCTAGCTACTCGGAAAGGCTGAGATCTGAGGATCGAGGTCTGAATCCAGCCTGGGCAGATCTACCTCTTGCCAATTAACCAGCAGATCTCTGATTGCCAATTAACCAGCAAAAAAAACAGAAGTAGAGCTGTGGCTCAAATGGTAGAGTGCTAGTCTTCAGTGAAAAAGATAAGGAACAGCGCCCAGGCCCTGAGTTTAAGCCCGTGTGTGTGTGTGTGTGTGTGTGTGTGTGTGTGTGTGCGTACAGCATATATAAGGTCCTGTGTTTGACCCCCAGCCCTGCAAGGAAGGAGGGGAGGAAGATAAAAAGATACATTTATGCTTTTTGTTTTGTTTTAATCCTGGGGCTTGAACTAAGGGCCTGAGCACTGTCCCTTAGTTTCCTTTTTGCTGAAGCTTTTTGAGTGACAAAACTGTGGTACATTAGCTATAGCTCTACTTCCAGCTTTTTGCTGCCTAATTGGGGATAAGTCTTAAAAATTTTCCTGCCTGAGCTGGCTTTGAACCGCAATCCTTAGATCTCAGCCTCCTGAGTAGCTAGGATTACAGAGGTAAGCTGCCAGCGCTCCACTATTAATTTTTTTAAATAGAAAACAGACTGCACAGTGTGTGCCATTTCTTATTGTTTCTGCCTCCATTTTATAGTGAATAGCTTCTTAGTAATGCATCCTTATGGATACTTAGTGAAGTTTCTTTAACATTTAAAGGCACATTTCCAATTGATTTAACCAAGACACGACTTCAGATTCAAGGCCAGACCAATGATGCCAACTTCCGAGAAATTAGGTACCGAGGGATGCTGCATGCATTGGTGCGGATTGGCCGGGAAGAAGGGCTGAAGGCCTTGTACTCAGGGTAAGTGAAGAGTATATGCTTCTGTTTGTTAACCCTTTCCAGTGGAGATGACAGAGTTAGACTTCTTAAAGAAACAGTAGGGATTTGAGACATATCGGAAAGCAATAACTAAGCATGGTAGAGTCTAACATTTAAATTTCATCTCTATATTTTGTATATGTTATAGAGCGATTGTTTTGGTAAAACAATCTGTTCATTATATTCAGATGCAGACAACCATGCAAAAATGGCATTTGTTTTAAACAGCCTGCTAATCAATTTTTTACTACTGGAAAGAAGAGCCCTTTCTCTTAGTTATTCTGAGTGACTGAGGTTTTGTCATAATGAAAATGACATAGTGTAGCACCAAATTGCTTTTCTTCATTCAGCCTTGAGTGGACACTGCTCTGTTGGCTTGTTTTTTTTTCCTGATTTTTTTTTCTGGTACTAGGCTTGAATTCTCATGTGGCTTTTTGTTTTTGTTTTTGTTTTGTTTTGTTTTGTCCAAGGCTAGCTCTCTACCACTTGAGAAATAGCTCCATGTCTGGCTTTCTGTTAGTTAACTGGAGATGGGAGTTTCATAGACTTTCCTGCTGAGACTAGCTTTAAACCATCCTCAGATCTCAGAGTCCTGAGTGGCTAGGATTACAGGTGTGAGCCAAATAGTGTCCTGCTTCCTGACACTGTCTTGAACTTATTTCAGTGCTGTGATATAAAAACTTTTAGGAAAAGGAAATACTAGACACCGCTGTCTAAGGTATTTGAGATGAGCTCCAGAGTAACAGAGTAGGATTATTTCTGGTACTTGAGCTATACCTGGCTGAGGCCTGTTTTCCCAAGTGTTTTGTGCTGAGAAGGGATGTTCCTGAGAATCCATTTAAGGGTTCTTGAGTTGGGTGTGGTGGCTCACACCGGTCACCTCAGCTTCTCAGAAGCAGAGGTAGGGAGGATCGAGATTCAGGCTTGCCTGGGCAAAAAAAAATGTGAGCCCTTGGACGGGTAGGAAAAACTGGGAGAGAACAGGAGAAGGGATGACATTGTCCAAAAAGAAATGGCTCTTTTTCTTGATTTTTGTAACTGTATATCACCCTCTGTATTTCACCTTTATAATAACAATAAAATAGAAAAAAAAAGTGAGACCCTATCCAAAAAATTGCTAAAGCAAAAAGGGCATAGGGAATGGCTCAAGTGATAGATCACTTGTCTATCAAGTATGAGGCCCTAAGTTCAGAACTTGTATCACCAAAAAAAAAAAACCCTGCAAAACTAGTGTTGTTGGATCATGTTGCTCTCCTTGAGGATTTGAGTGACTTTTGGATGTTCTTGGTCCCCCTGTGTGGTGGTTTGACAGGATTGCCCCTGCCATGCTCCGCCAGGCCTCCTATGGCACCATCAAGATTGGCACTTATCAGAGCTTGAAGAGATTGTTCGTGGAACGCCCAGAAGGTGAGTGGGAATCTGTCTTCTATCTGGGGACAGCTGGTGGACTGTTGATTTTTGTTGTTGTTGTTTGCACCAATCCTGGAGCTTGAACCTCAGGGCTTGAGTGCTATCTCTGAGCTTTTGTGCTCAAGTCAAGTGTTCTACTACTTGAGCCACAACTCTACTCCCATCTTTTTTGTTGTCGTTGGAGATAAAGAATCTCGTGAGCTTTCCTGCTTGGCTGGCTTTGAAGCACAATTCTCAGATTTCAGCCTGGTGGGTAGCTAGGATTACAGGCCTGAGCCACCGGTGCCTGGCTTGTTGATCTTTTCATTTCAGTATTTTTGAAGGGGATTTCTTCATCTTAACATTTTATCATGGCAAAGGAGAATGTCTGGGTGTAAAGTTTCAACAAATTGGGCTTATAGAAAATCAGGTATCAGCCAATAGTACTCAAGGAACCATCTCTACAAACATTTTAATTATTTGTCTTTATGTGCCTAGACTAGGGGATATGTTATTACCATTTAATGTAACATAATTTTTTTAATCCTGTGTATTGTCACCTGTTTTTTAGGAAAGCATTAAATCCTTTCTTAGTGTTAAGAGCTCTGTATTCTTTCACTGGTGCCTGTCCTGGGGCTTGAACTCAGGGCCTCTTGCTGTCACTCAGCTTTTCCCTCTCACAGGTGGCGCTTTGCTACTTGAGCTATGCTTCCAGTTCCAAGAGCTCTGAGTTCTAATAGACTGTGGCTGGTTGGTTCTGGGGCTTTGTTTTAATTCATAAAACTGCTTCTCTCCGTCTCTCCCTGTCTCCTTCAAATGAGTGGAATTATCAGTCCCTGTTACACAGAGAGATGAACAAGAGCCTTGAAAGTACTTTGATGATGTCAAACTAAATACATATCCTATGCTTTAGAAACTTCCTGTGCCTAATAAATCCTCGTGTTATCTCCTGGGAATTTCTCTTACTCTCCTAAGAATTCTGCCTCATTTCACTCATGAAGCTCTGAAGCCACATAAAATTAAATTGGTACATAGTCCCTCACTTTTTTTGGTTGGTCGTGGGGCTTGAACTCTGGGCATGGGTGCTGTCCCGTAGCTCTTCAGCTCAAGGCTAGTGCTCTACCACTTAAGCTACAGCACCACTTCCTGCTTTTTCTGTTTTTGTGGTGCTGAAGAATCAAACACAGGACCTCATGCATGTGAGGCAAGCACTCTACCACTGAGCCAACTTCCCAGCCCCCATAGTCTCTCACTCTGCATGATGATTCCAATTGATTTTTAGATATCAAGAAATTTGGCCAAGCAAAATTCCTTTAGTCAGCAGTATTCCTTTTTAAATTGCTTGATTCAAAGAGCACACCTGTCTTCATTCTAAGGTGAATGAGGTGTTAATGAAGCATACGGAAAGAACTCCATGTGTATGAAAAACCAAATACTTTGTCTTTGTTTACAGATGAAACTCTACTGATCAACGTCATATGTGGAATTCTTTCTGGAGTCATATCTTCAGCCATTGCCAATCCAACCGATGTGCTAAAAGTAAGCTGTGCTAGCTATATCTTAGGGACACATCTCACATTTTCTTTCCTTTTTCCCTTTCTCTTTCTTTTCCTTTACTTTTTTTTCTTTTTCCTTTTCTCTTTATTTTCTTCAAGACAGGGCCTCATTCACCCAGGCTGGCCTTGAACTTGCAGTCTTTTTGCTCTATCTCTCAAGTACTAGGATTATAGACTTGTGCCACCATGCTGGTCCCACATTCAACATTTTCTAATTGGGAGCAGCATTCAGATAATGAAATATAATATAGGTGAATCTGTTCATAATTTATGAAGTCTTAAATACTCACTAAGTGGATTTCCCATTGATACAGATAGGTCTAAAGTAGAATTCATTTTGGAGACAAGATTTTTAGTGATTGTACAAAAAAGAAAAATTTAGGGTGTGGATATATTTGAGTTCCTTGTTCCCTTGCTTATTGCTTCATAAAGCCAGATGGGATAGCAACACCATGACAGGTATGCCTGGAGTCTCAGCTGCCTGGGAAATGGAGTTGGGAGGACTGTGGTTCTAGGCAAACCAAGGCAAAAATTACAAGACTCCATCTCAACAAACATGCCAGACATGGTGGTACACATCTGTGATCCCAGATGTGCAGGAGGCTTGGTTGGATGATCACAGTCCTGTGTAAAAATGCCAAGACCCTATCTGAACAATAGCTAAAGTGAAAAAAGCTATAGGTGTGGCTCAAGTGGTAGAACACCTGCTGGCAAGCATGAAACCCTGAGTTCAAACCCCAGTATTGGCGCCTGCCACAACAGAACATGGGTTACGGGGGGGGGGGGGATACAGACCTGTAACCCTAGCTACAGGGGAGTCAGAGGCAGGAAGATTGTGAGTTGGAGCCCAACCCTGGCAAAGTTAGTAAGTCTCTGTCGCAGTAACAAAATATTAACAAAAGGACTGGGGTACGATGAACGTACTGAGAATACTAGCAATACAACCTCTTTAAATCCTTTTTGGAATAAGACTAGGGACTAACTAAATAAAGTCTACATGAGCTATTTCCTTTTAGAGTACCCCTCCCCCCTCCACTATTTAACTAGTAAGCTATGCTTCTGCTTTGCTCTGCATGCGGGGCCGCCCACATGAGTGGGAGGAGGGCCTTGTCCTCAGAGGTCCTCCAGTCTCATCATCTAGCCTCAAAAATAGATGAACATGTTGAGTTGTTCTCCATGTATGAGGCCACAGATTTATTTTACACTGGGGTAAAAGAACTAAAGGGGAAAAAAACCTGTACTCCTATTAATTTCTTAAATATATCTCAGGGCTTATAAGAAAGCAATTCCTGTATTTTAGTTTCTTTTCCACTATTAGGGTGGCTCCAAACAGTTTCCTTAGAAGGTAGTGGTGCTAGATTTTTTTTAAGTAGTGTGAAACCCTTTTCATTTTTAGGAAAGCAAGGCACTGAGACCTGTGGCTCATGACTATAATCCTACCTACACAGGAGGCTGAGGTCTGGGAATCACAGTTCCAAGTCAGCAGAGGCAGACACATCTGTGTGATTCTTATCTCCAAATAACCACCAAAAAGCTGGAAGTAGAGGTGTGGCAACTGGTAGAGCATCAGCTGTTGAGTGGAAAAAGCCAGGGGACAGTGTGAGGCCCTAAGTTAAAACCCCAGTATTGGGGGGAAAAAAAAAGGTAAAGAGCTACATCAACCATGTATCTGGTAGAAGGGCCACATGGCCCTTGTGGCTGTTATGAGTTCAAGTGCATCAGAGTGTAAGTTCAAGTGCATCAGAGTGTAACAGCATCCTTTGGCCAGCTCACTTGCATACCTTTTGGTCCAATGGGTTGGAAATACTTATGGCTAGGAGCAGGTTCAGAACCATGTTTGTTCATGCTTGATGCATAACTAATTAATCACATCAAGCATTCAGAATTGTCATCACTTTTGATTCCTGTTTGGTAACCTAAAGTCAAATTATATTATTTTCTGTCTTACCCAAAAGTCTTTTTTTTTCCCTTTTCCTTTTGTTAGTTTTGAGGCTTGAACTCAGTGCCCAGGCACTGACCCTAAGCTTTTTATGCTCAAGGCTAGCTCTTGACACTTGAGCCATAGTTCCACTTCTGGACTTTTGGTAGTTACATTGGAGATAAGAGTCTCAGAAACTTTTCTTCCCAGCCTGGCTTTGAACCTCGATTCTTAGGTCTTTGCCTCCTGAGTAGCTAGGATTACAGATATGAGCTACTAGTGCTTGCTCATGCTCCCTGATTTTTTTTTTAATTTAATAAAGGCATATATAGGATTCTACTAGGTACTTTGTAGAAATTTTAGGGTTCCTAAGAACTAATCCTTATAGGCTTTTTAATCTCCTGAGGACATTTTATTCAGATACACTATTTTTTTTTTTTTGGTCGGTCCTGGGGCTTGAACTCTGGGCCTGGGCACTGTCCCTCAGCTTTTCAGCTCAAGGCTAGTACTCTACCACTTGAGCTACAGCATCACTTCCTCCTGAGGACATTTTAAAGTAGCCATATTTATATCCAGTTTGTTTTAAGGAATATTAAGCAGTAGCTAGAATGATTTTCAGAAGTGGTTGTTGGTGGTGGTGAATGTACTGGTTTCCTTCTCATGTTGGTCTTTAAATAATCTCTAGATCCGAATGCAAGCACAAAGCAACAATCTCCAAGGAGGGATGATAGGTAACTTCATTCACATTTATCAGCAAGAGGGAACAAGAGGTCTGTGGAAGGTAAGCTACAAAACAGATCCAACTCATTCACTTCTTTTAACTTTCTTCTTGTTTAAAATGTTTCATATTTCTTTTCTTTTCTTTTTTTTTTTCTTTGTCTTCCATGGGGCTTGAACTTGGAGCCTGGGTGCCATCCCTGAGTCTTTTGCTTGAGGTAGCACTCTACCACTTTCTTAGCATCATTTCTTGTTTTCTGGTGGTTACTTGGAGATAAGAATCTCATTTCCTGCTTGGGCTGGCTTTGAACCATGATCCTTAGATCGCAGTCTCTGAGTATCTAGGATTACAGGCATGAGCCATTGGTGCCTGGCTTAAAATTAGTCACATTTCTATTAATTTTAGCTACTGGTATCTGGCTGGTTTAAATCTTTAAATGTTTTTGGGTTCCAGTTTCATTGATTGGTCAATATGGTTTTGGGACTATAAATGAAGTTAGTTTTTTGTTTGTTTGTTTTTGTCAGTCATGGGCTTGAACTCTGGGCCTGGGCGCTGTCCCTCAGCTTTTCAACTCAAGGCTAGCATTTTACCACTTGAGCCACAGCACCACTCCTGGCTTTTTCTGTTTATGTAGTGCTGAGGAATTGAACCTAGGGCCTCATGCATGCTAAGCAAGCACTCTCACTGAGCCACCTTCCCAGCCCATGAAGTCAGCATTAGAACTTAGAGCTTTTGAGCTTTTTGAGTGTTCCCTTTTATTTTTTTTTACTGTGTCACTCTACATTTCTACCTACTAACAGGAACATGTAAAACTTGGTTGTAGGTGGGCACTGATGGTTCACTCCTGTAACTGTAACTACTCAAGAGGCTGCAATCTGAGGATCATGGTTCAAAGCCAGCCCGGGCAGAAAAGTCTGTAAGGCTCTTATCTCCAATTAACCATCAGAAAACTGGAAGTGGTGCTGTGGCCGAGTGGTAGAGCACTCGCCTAGAGCTGACGAGCTCAGGAACAGCACCCTGGCTCAGAATTCAAGCCCCATGATGACAAACAAACAAAAATATTGGTTGTAATTTGTGGAGTGGAAACCTTTGAACACTTGTGCTCTGTAGAGCAGTGTCTGAATCCTCTCATCCATGTTTTTACTAGGGTGTGTCCCTCACGGCGCAGAGGGCTGCTATCGTTGTTGGTGTGGAACTTCCAGTGTATGACTTCACCAAGAAGCATCTGATGCTCTCGGGTCTCATGGGAGACACAGTCTATACCCACTTCCTGTATGTTTATACGGTTTTTAAAAAAATTGTTGTTATTAAATAGCTGTACAAAGGCATTATATTTCTGTAAGCCAGGTTGTGAGTACGGTGGATAATGTCACCTTTCCCTTGTTTTCCCCCATTTTTCTCCTACCCTCCCTACCCACAGGTTGGCATGAGGTTAGGGTGGGAAGAGAGTATAACTTTATAAAAATATTATGGGAGTTTATTGTAAAAGTATTTACATATTTGAAAATTTACATCAGCGATCAGACAAAATAATCAACACCTAGTGAGTTCTGTGGTAAAACAGAGAGTTTAGTAGAACCTGCCACGTGTGGAGGCCAGAATCGTGGAGAGATCTTTGTGTTTGATCTGTAGGAACAATATTAACTTGATATGGGTAGCATTACTCTGACGCACTACCAACTCCTATCAAGTAACGAAATGGAATAGATCACCTTTGGAGACTGCTCCTTCGTGTTTCACTGCATTTTTTTTTTTTACTTTCTATTTCAAAGGTGTTCTTAGCTGTAACTGGAGTTTATAAGCCAAATTGTCAGTGTTACATTTAAGAAGTTTGTATTCCATATTAATTTCACGTGTTTTGGCAAGGAGGCTAACTTCTGCCTTTGACAGCAGTAGTTGGAGTTGAGTAGTGGTTGACTTTTTGCCTTTTTCCAATCCTGTCTTCATAGCTCGAGCTTCACCTGTGGTCTCGTGGGGGCCCTGGCCTCAAACCCTGTGGACGTTGTGAGAACACGAATGATGAATCAGAGAGTTCTTCGAGATGGCAGTTGCTCTGGCTACACAGGTACCCTGGATTGCTTGTTACAGGTGAGGATGGGCATGTCTATGCAGAGTTGTAAATTGTATACATGTATATATTGTAACTTCAGTGATTCAGTTATTACAGCTAAAACTAAGATGAAGCTGAGAGCCTCTGACTCATACCTGTTATTCTAACTACCCACGTGGCTGACATCTGAGAATCATGGTTCTAAGCCAGCCTGGGCAGACAAATCCAGAGTCTTATTTCCAATTAACTAGCAAAAAACCAGAAGTGACTAAATGGATTACAGAAACTAATCAAGTATTCTCTAAGAGAAAAAAGTCAGAAGTGAAGGTCTGTAGCTTCAAGAAGTAGAGCCCCAGCTATGAGCAAAACAAGTTCAAGCCCTAGTACAATCAACCAATCAAACAACCGCTGAGTGATACTCTAAAGCTCTGACATAGATATGTGCCACTTTATTTTGGCCACATTGAGGTTACCTTTGTTTGTTTGTTTGAACTATAGGCACAGGCCACCACCCCTAGCTGAGGTTAACTTTGACAAAAGTACAAAAATATAGTTGAATAGAGAGATATAAAAGCTTATTTTCTGAATACCTTCTCTGTGCTCTGAAGGGCAATAAAATAGTATTGTTTTCTGTAAACACAGAACTGTATCTAAAATCCACTTTCTGCCTGTGGAGTGAGTCTAGAAGAGTCCTTATCCAGACACTTCTCTCAGAGGAGTGCATCAGTCTTCTGTAACTCTCAGTTCTGAAACCTGGTCTTTGGGCTTCCTGTTCGTGGGTGGATGAATGTTGTCCACTGTCTTCCCATTGGATTGCCAGCAGCCAAGAACTAGGAACCACCTCTTCCACCCACCAAGTATTGCATTAATGAAGCAAAAAAAAAAAAAAAAGTTTTTTTTTTTTGGGTCCGGTCATGGGGCCTGAACTCTAGGCCTGGGTGCTGTCCCTTAGCTCTTCAGCTCAAGGCTAGCGCTCTACCACTTGAGCCACAGTGCCACTTCCGGCTTTTTTCTTTTTGTTTATATGGTGCTGAGGAATCGAACCCAGGGCCTCATGCATGCAAGACAAGCGCTCTACCACTGAGCCACCTTCCCAGCCCAAAAGTGTTTTTTTTTAACATGAGAAACAAGTTGACTTGAATGTCATGAAAGAAAAATGGTAACCAACTAAAGCCAAGAACATAGTGTTGCTGTTGCTCCTGCCACATCACTTAGTTGAACGAAGGGAGGTTCATTTTGACATGAGACATGACCATATAATACAGACTCAACTCCTTCATTACTCTTCCTTATCTCTCTTCCCTTATCTTGTCTCCTTTATCTATCCAATAATTTAGAAAGTAGACATTTCTTTCTTTTTTTTTTCTTTTGGTCCAGTCGTGGGGCCTGAACTCTGGGCCTGGGCGCTGCCCCTCAGCTCTTCAGCTCAAGGCTAGTGCTCTACCACTTGAGCCACAGTGCTACTTCTGGCTTTTTTCTTTTTTTGCTTGTATGGTGCTGAGAATTCGAACCCAGGGCCTCAGGCATGCAAGGCAAGCGCTCTACCACTGAGCCATCTTCCCAGCCCCGAAAGTAGACATTTCTGAATGATATCTTTCAGGGGGCAGATATTAGGGTTTGAACTTAAAGCCTTGGACAGGCAAGTACTCTACCACTAAGCCACATTCCCTTTTCTCTGAATGAAATCTTTACTATCATTGAATCTTTACTTCTGACCTGTTAAGAAACCCCAGTGGCATGGAAGCCAATGAACCTATTGAGATTAAATCTACTTTCCTGTTCATTCAGCTTCATGTGGGGTTCATTCTACCTTTTTATTTATTTGTGCTGGTACTGGGTGCTTAAACTCTGAGCCTCATACTCTTTCTTGGCTTGAATCACACTTGCACTTTTAAATTTTTGCTGGTTAATTGGAGATAAGAGTAGCTTGAGTTTGCCCAGGCTGATTCTGAACTATGATCCTCAGATCTTAGCCTCCTGAGTAGCTAGGATTCTAGATGTGAGTCACTGATGCTTGGTTTTGTTTTTTTGTTTTTTTATAAAGTGTAGTTCCTACAAGGGAACTTCACCATGGTAATCTTACTTTCACATGATTCAATCAGATTGCTGGACACTGGTAGCTTATGCCTATAATCCTAGCTAACTCAGGAGGCTGAGATCTGAGGATCACAGTTTAAAGCCAGCCTGGGCAGGAAAGTGTGTGAGACTCTTATCTCCAATTAACCACCAGAAAACTGGAAGTGGCGCTGTGGCTCAAGTGGCAGAGTGCTCGCCTTGAGGCTCAGGGACAGTGCCTAGGCCCTGAATTCAAGCCCCATGACTGAAAAAAAAAAGTTAAAAAAAAAGAATTAAAAAAAAGAATAATTTAATGAGATTAACCTCATCAGTTGCTCTCTTTCTCTGTTGTTCAGTAGCTTGCTTCCTCCCTCCCTCCCTCCCTCCTTTCTTTCTTTCTTTCTTCCTTTCTTTCTTTCTTTTGCCAGTCCTGGTGCAGACCCTGATCCTCTCTGTACTCAAGGCTAGTGCTCTACCACTTGATCCACAGCACCATTTCCAGCTTTTTCTGTTCATGTGGTACTGAGGAATTGAACCCAGGGCCTCGTGCATGCTGGGCAGGCACTCTACCACTGAGCCATATTCCCAGCCCTGTTCAGTAACCTTTAGTGAGTTTCCTAATGTCATCTTCACACATAGACACCAAACATCAATATTATAGAGGGCACTCTACCACTTGAGCCACAGTGCCACTTCTGGTTTTCAGGTGGTTAATTGGAGATAAGAGTCTTATGGACTTTCTTGCTTAGGCTGGCTTTGAACTGCAATCCTCAGATCTCAGCCTCTTAAGTAGCTAGGATTATAGGCATGAGCCACCTGTGCCCAGAGAGGGCAAATATTGCTGAGTAGTCCTTCCACTCAATCACTGAGCCAAAACTCTTGCCATGGTTCAATTTTTATGAAAATAGTCTGACAACTATTAAGCATTCAATATAATTGGGAAATTGGACACTCAATCTTTTTCTCTTGTTTGCTTTTTAACAGACATGGAAGAATGAAGGATTTTTTGCCCTGTATAAAGGGTTCTGGCCTAATTGGCTGAGGCTTGGTCCCTGGAATATCATTGTATCCTTTCCTGTTGTAGTGGATTTGAAAAAACATAATGTAGCAAAAAATATTGCTTATACAAACTAGCAAATTATTAACTTAAAAGTAAATTCTTTCCTATTTGAGTTCTTTAAGACATAACTATTCTGTTTCTGTTTCAGGAAATATAAAGTCTGGGTGCTAGACACTGTGATCTTAGTTTAACAATATAAATTATTAAAATGACTTATCTTTCAGCTGGGCATTGAGGGCTCACATTTGTAATCCTAGCTATTCAGGAAGTTGAGAAAGGCTTGGTTCAAGGCCAGCTTGGGCAGAATGTTTATGAGACCTTATCTTGAAAAGTAATGGCAAAAAGCAAGGCTGGATATATGGCTCAAGTGGTAGAACACCACTATAGCAAGTGAGAGGTTCTGAGGTTAAACCTCAGTACTACCAGATAATACTACTACTACTAATAATAATAATTAAATAGTTATTGAAATGTAATAAGGCAATAAATATCTCATTGGATCCTGCTGAAGAGCTAAAAGTATTCATAATTTCAGAGCAACAAGGATTGGTATTTCTAGCTGCTCTGGGGAAGGATGTGGTTAATAATAAGACCCAAGAATATTTCCTGTAGAGACTGCCTGAAGATAACCACACAGGAATTGGCTGTGGGGTTGTTTGGCTGGCCTAAAATCTCAGCCTCCTGAGTAGCTAGGATTGCAGGTGTGAGCCACTAGCACCTCCAAAGCAAGGCTTACCAAGGAAGCTTTCTAAGACTTGTTGCAGTGGCACAGAAACCAATCAGATCTCAGCTGTGGTCTTTCTGTTCCAAACTGACCTTGGACACATTTATGGGTTGTTAGTTTGAGAAGTTTTAGGATGGGGCTTCTATGTTTGATAAGGTCCAGCCTTAACCCATAACTCCAGTTCTTTGTGACTTATGAGCAGCTGAAGAAACTGGACTTGTGACACAAGTTCAAGGCCGCCTGAGACTACCTTCTCAAAGCGCAAACTTCTGCAATAGTTGAGCTTTCTGTATTCCACTCTGCTTCTCACTTGGCTCATCACAGCTCTGGGATGGGAGCCACAGATGAAGACTGGGTTCTTTCGATTGCTGTGTGTCAGCATCAAATGCTCTTCGCCAGTGCTAATGGCCTGAATTGTAACCTCCAAACACCAGTCCTTACCATTGAAGTGCCCTTTGATACCCACAATCATATACACAAGTACATATTTCTTGTTATAGAAAACTTGCAACAACAACAGCAGAAAAGAATACAGGCACTGTATGTTTTTTTCTTTTGGAAGAGGAACTCCTGATGCTACTTTTCTCTGCCTGTTCTGAAAAAGCACTGGGAACCATGTGATGCAGCTTCTGAGAGGATGTTGCTGTTTCTGAACTGCGAGAAGCTCTTGCTATTTGTCAACTGAAGATATTTCAGGCTGTGAAGACCTGGACTTTTTAACCCCAGGTTTAGACAGTGCTAGAAGTAGATCCTCAGAGTATTGCACTGCTTTAAAATTTCCGACTTTGTCAGGATCTCTCACTTATAATAAGTGATTTTAAGCCTTTGAAGACTTTACCTTTGTGAGGAATTGTTAAAATATGTTAACACCTTAATCCAAGGTGGTGTGATGTGTTGGCTTTGAAAGTTACCAGTGTATGTTGTTTGGAGTGTGTTGGTGGAAGATGTTTGAAGCTGTTTGACTTCTGTCTCAGGTAATTTTAGGAATTGGCTGTGTGATTCTTTTAAAAAATTCTTTTTGTGCTTGCATGGTCTTCAACTCATGGTCTTGAGCTTTTTGTTCAAGGCTGGTGCTCTATTACTTAAGCTACAGCTCTATTTCCAGCTTTTTGGTGATTAATTGGAGATCAGAGTCTCATGGATTTCCCTGCCTGGGCTGGCTTTGAACCATGATCCACAGACCTCAGCCTCCTCATCAGCTAGTATTGCAGCTGTGAGCCACCATGCCACACCACCTTTTCTTTAAAAGAAATGTATTAGCATATATTATTTGTATAGAAGGGGAGTTTCCTTGTGATATTTCTATATATGCTTCCAGTGGTCTCCATCAACCTCACACCTTCTATGGCTTTTTAGCCACCTCCTTCTTAAAAACAATTTTAACTGGTTTCACTGTTTTGTTTTTCATATAGGCATATTCTACTGTATCCATCCCCCTGTAGCTGGTACCCATCCCCAACATCTCTTTTATTTTCCTGTCATTCCTTTTAGTGTATATTAATTGTACCAAAGGGTTAAAAAAGACAATTTCTTTTCCCTCCCTCCCTCCCTGCTTCCCTCCTTCCTTCCTTCTTTCCTTCCTTCCTTCCTTCCTTCCTGGCTGGGGACTGAAATCAGGGCCTCAAATAAGGAAAGCTCTTCACCACTGAAGCTATAGCCCTAGTCCCAAATGATATCTTTTTATCTAGTTTCTGTTACATGTTTTTTTCCTTCTTGTAATGATACAGCAAATCATTTTTCTTGCTTGTCATTTTCCTTCTTTCTTGTTTTCCTCACATTTTTAAGATGAAAGATGACTTTTAGAGCCCCAAGAGCTTTCTACCTGTAGAAGGCTGGAAACGGATTAGATTTTCTTGGATGCCTTGCAGTCTGCTCTTTGATTATTGTGGTGCTGGGATGGAACCCAGGCAAGCACTGTTGACTTCATCCTAGCCCCAGGCTTGCCTTTGGGAACCACACACTATCTCCAGCTCTAGGGCAGGCTACTTCTACATTATGTGCTATGCAAATTTCCAGTTTGTCTAGTCCCTGGCTTCTTCCTTCTTGGGACAGAAAGGAATAGAAGATTTTCTTGGGGCTCATTCATTTTTTTCTCCAAGTCATTTTCACTTTGTCTTCTTTGCTAATGCTTCCTTTGAAAAAGGACCTTATGAAGTAGAATTTTACTTCCACAAGTAAGACAGAGTCTTGAAAAGACTAAGATAAAAATTAGAAAGAGAGAAAGAAGGATCATTGATAGCTTATTGGTGGTGTGGACACCAGATGGCAGTAGAGGCCCTGAGCTCATTCAGGCCTTGCTTCTGGCATTGAACTACATGTTAAAAAAGATTTTTTTTCTTATCAGAACATTCCATTAAGCAATAGACTTTCTGCTGAGAATCTTTCACTTTTGAGTTCTTTGAATTAAAAGGTTGTTTCATCTGAGCTACTTTTCTAAAATGTTGAAAATATTTTATTTTTTTCAAGTATGTAATTTCTGAAATAGAAACAAATACATCTCAAAGACTGTTATAAAGGGCAAATGTCAGACAAATTACCAGTTTATTATGGACAAAAAAGAAACTCAAAACTTTCCTGGAAAACTTCAGCAATTTTAAGACAAAAATATGGTATAGATTTATTATGTGCCTTATAGAACAGGATCTTAACCTGCTTTTTCTGTTTCCTGGAATTAATGCAATGGTTGAAATTTTTAACCAGGAAATAACTTAAGGATTTGAGAAACTTGATCCTCTTTGTTCCTGGGTATCGTTACAGCCCTCTCTTCCTCTGGACAGTGCTCAAATATGACTAAAGGATTTCTAAATTTTGTTATTTTTGTTTTTATTTTGTTTTGTGTATATGTGCGTGCTGATACTGGGACTTGAACCCAGGGCCTGGACACTGTTCTCTTAAGCTTTATTGCTCAAAGCTAGTGCTCTACCACTTGAGCCACTGCTTCACTTCCAGCATTTAGCTGGTTAATTGCAGATGAAGAGTCTTATGGACGTTTTTTCCTGGTCTGGCTTTGAGCTATGATTTTCTGATCTCAGCCATCTGAGTAGTTAGGATTACAGGGGTGAGTCACCAATGTCCAGTAGTGTTTTGTGTTTTTTTTTTTAACTTTTATGACTAAGTTGAAGGAAATGTTTTGCTTCTTGGTTTCTTTATGGATTTGTGAACTCATGATGCTAAGCATTGCTGATCTGTACTACTAAAGAGTGGCTCCTATTCATCTTTAACCATGTGCTAGAAGTAGTCTATGTTATGTAGAATATACCTTCTTTGTAAACCTTTATACTTTATGCTCTTTATTTAAGCATTGTAGGAATATGTAGTGTAAACCTCATTTCATTTATTTAATAAAATGGAGTAATATATAAAAATGAAATGACTGTGGTTATTTCTTTTCTTTGGTTGAAAACTGGGATTTGAACTTGGTACCTGATACATTTACTCATTGGCTAGTGCTCTACCAATTGAGCCACAGCTCCAGTCTGGACACTGTTCTCTTAAGGGTTATTTCCCCTCAACCCTCCCCCACCCCCTGCACATACTCCCCTTCCTACCCCCAGATAATAGGGACATTTAGACAAAGGCAAACCCAGCGAGTGCAAAGGCTGGGTGGATGCATAAAGAACGTGGTGGGATCATCTTCCTCACTGCCTGGCACTAGTGAGACACCCCCCACCCCCCCCAGCCCCCCCCCCCCCAGCCCCCTCTCCCCCACTGTACTTTGCCATATACCCTGCCACTCAGTGGAGGCCTGTGAACTTGACTCTGAAGTACACTGGCAAGGTAGCACATTAACAACTCCAATGCAATGGTGGCAGTGCTGTAAATTGTCATGTCCTTTCAGTCCTCCTTCCAAATGGAGGCAATAGCTGGGATCCTTGGTCAGCCACATAGGGACAGCTGTGAAGTAGCTGGGCATCCACAAGAGTAGTTCTGGAAATAATAGCAGGCTGTTCTTGTAGAGCTGAGTAAGGTGAGTCTCTTTGATTACCCCACTGGTTACCCCTGGCTCCTTCTCCTTCCCTTTCTCTTTCTGACCTGGAACATTCCAGCTCACTCATTCCCAAGACATTTTCTATTTCCAGGGACTTAACCTAAGACACTGCTAGGGGAGGAGGCTAAAGAAGCAAAGGCATGACTGGAATGTGGAAGTTCCCGCTTCTGGAGCAGATAGTAGAGAAGTTACCATTGGTGCCTTTACAGCAACAAAAGTAGGAGACAGTGCACTGTTCTCAAATTAGAGCCCGTCAGAACGTTTTTAAATGTGTTGCATTTCAATCTATTGTTTCTGGTTTTTTACTTGAGTTGTGCCAGAAGGGTTTTGATTCAACAAGTCAGATTATGAGTACAATGCATCTTGATCAATGTCAACTCTTTCATCCTTCTCCTTAGTCTTCTCTTAAAAACTACAGTTAATGCAGCCAGGCACCAGTGGCTCATGGCTTGTAATGCTAGCTACTCAGGAGGCTGAGATCTGAGGATATCGGTTCAACGCCAGCCTGGGCAGGAAAGTCTGTGAGACTCTCCAATTAACCAGCAAAAAGCTAGAGGTAAGACTGTGTCACAAGTGATAGAGAACTAGTCTTCAGTACAAAAAGGTCAGGGACAGTGCCAGGCTCTGAGTTCTAGCTCCAGTACTGGCATGCTTTCACCCACACGCGTGAGCGCGCGCGTGCGCGCGCGCACACACACACACACACACACACAGACTACATGAATGCATATTCTGAATCACTAATGCAACAATAGTTTAGGATTATCCTAGGATTTCAGCTTCTACCCTTTTTCTTTATGCATATAAGACTTTTAATCAAGCTACTGAAAAATAATAGGTTATTCTAATATATAAATGTTCTGCAGATGAACTACTGGGATTAAATGCTTCCTGTATGATTCAAATGGTAGAGGACCAATATGTGGCTAGGATGACCTAACCCCATTGAACCCCAAAGAAGCTGTGTAGCTGTGGCCCTGATCATATTTATATTGCCTGCAGTGATTAGCTTCTCCAGCAAAACAAAACAATGTCTTCCATCTCATTAATGCTATCTGTTTCAATGTTACTGGTAATACATTGTTATATGTTATACTTCTGTTGGCATGTAACTTGCAAATCTACTTTTATATAATCATAAACTTATGCAAAATTTTATTCTTGTTCATACTTAGGCAATGCAATGTAATTATTCATGTCAATATTGAGCATCAGCATTTTTTTTTAACCAGGGCTTGAACTCAGGAGCTTACATTCTCCATCAGTTCTCTTGCTCATGGCTGATGCTCCATCTACCATGGAGCCACACCTCCAATCTAGATTTTTGCTGGTTAATTAGAAATTAAATTAGAATCTTGTAAACTTTTCTGCTGGCTTCTAACTACCATCCTTCCTGAGAGGTTTGGATTACTTGTATGAGGCACTGGCATCTGGCTGAGATCTGCAATTTTCTTTTTCCAGTCCTGGGGCTTGAACTCAGGGCCTAGCCTCTGTCCCTGAGCCTTTCTGTGCTCAAGGCTAGCACTCAACCACTTGAGCCACAGTGCCACTTCTACCTTTTTCTGTTTATATCATACTGAGGAATCGAACTCAGGCCTTCATGCATGCTAGGCAAGCACTCTACCATTAAGACATATTCCCAGCCCCTAGAGCAGCAATTTTTAAGAGAACTTTGTGTATCATCACTTAACTTGGAGATATTCCACAGTAGTACAGAGAGCACTGGTTCCTGCCAGGATATCTAAACTCTTACAATGAGAAACACAACATCTTTGGTTTGTAGGATAGATTTGGCCTGGCCATTAAATTTTCTTTCAGCTCTAAATTCTGTTCTTAAAAGGTCAGAGCCCTCATGTAGGAACATGTCAAGCAGTGATTTGTGCTGTTTCTACTTTGAGATGACTTGTTAGATGACTTGTCAGATGACTGCCAATACTACTGGAAGGAAGCTTCTAGATGCCCTGGTTCAGGGAGGAGCAGGATGAGGCCTTCCATAACTGTTACTGGCTCTGGCCCATGGTAATGTTTCTTTATGAGATATATGAGAAGGAAAACTTAGAATCACCCAAGGGGTTCTCAATCA